GTGGAGAGAGGCGCGTGTGGGAGAGCAGCGCACCGACAGGTTTAAGCCCGCGCGACAGCTAGGCCGTAGGCCGTGGGCGCCGCGTCGCTGTCGCGGATCCAACTCCCCAAGCAGCCAAGCCCCGCGCGGCGTTCCGCGTAATCCCATTCCCGCCTCGTCTCGTGGTCTCGCGCCGTATCGTTCGTATCGTGCGTTGCCGTGCCGCGCGGCCGACCGCAACGGCGGAAGCAATGCCTTCTCTCCGTATCGCGCGGTCGTGCCGTGCGTGCGTGGACCAGCAGCAGCAGGCTCGCGCTGGGTCGCGCACGCGGGCAGCTCGCCCAACCACCGGCGCGGCGGCTGCGCGGCCCTTCTCCCACCGCCCCCACTCCCCCACCGTGTCGCGCGCGTCCCCCCCAGCCGACGGAATATTTTGTACTTTCCCGATCCGCTTCCGCGACTTGGGCCCTGTACGATATCCCACCACTTCTCTCTCCCCCAATCTAATAATCCTGCATCTCAATAACATATCATATCCATGATTATCATTACTCCGTCTCTGCATCTTGTGGATACGAGTACTACGTAGTACGCAGTAGTATGTAGTTTTGTACAGTCGTGCCAGCGATACGCTCCTTTCCTGTAGCACTTTCCAAAGACGTACGGTGCCTTTTCCTGTATGCTACTACTGGTAGAGTACGTCGGCTGGGACCGGACTGCATCTGCGTGCTTTTGTTTCCCGGACTTAGTCCAAGATTCTGCTACCTATTCCATTTGATTTTTGGCAAAACTTGGCTAAAGAAGATGGACACTACAAACTGTTGTTAGGATCGGGATAATAGTTAGTATTGTTTTGCTTAAAGTAATATCGTATCATAGAATCATATCGTAGTATTGGGATACCATGAGATTTTTTTAAGTTTAATTAATATTTATATTAATTCTATATAGCCATTCTATATAAAAAAATATAGTAATGATGTATGTCATGCAAATATAGACACTTATCAAGAGAAACCACGTTGGTTTTGATATATTTAACTGATTAAATTTGAACATATTTATTTGCATTATTTTTAAACCATGTTATTTTAAATATTATTTTATATTATCGTAGGGATTGTAAAATTGGAAAACCACGTAAGATTTCGTATGATCGTATAGTAATGAATAGTAAGATCGAGATACTATCAAAATTAAAATACTATATGGGATCGATATCGTTTCGATTTGGTAGGATCACACCACTATAAGATATTAGGATACGAATCGGGATACTGGTAGTTAAGTAACAAACTCAAGTCGCTAATCCAGGCCGGTCGAGCTAATCTCCTGCTCCCTGAGCCCACAGTTTTTAATGGGAAATAACGAAAGAGGATGAATTAATTTTATGGCTCTATATATCTTGTTACACCAATCTTAAATAAAGAAATGTATTATATAGCTAAAAGCTGCTTAGAAAGGCACATGTGTTTTGTTCATTTGTCATGTCTGTCCACTAAAGAAAACTTAAAAGTGGACAAGGTGGTTGTGTTGCTGCTAGCTATTAAGTACTACTTCTTCCTCTGCTTCTCATTAAAAAGATCGATTTTGTGCACGAATTGGTAAGGAAAAAGAGTTAATAATAACCGATGCAAGCAAAAGAAATGGAGTCATATATGCATGGATTTAGTCAGAGAGGTAGAGACCGGCAAGGGAGAGGTTCGTTAATTGGACGGGCGGGGCAAGGAGGCCATCAGGGCTAAGAGCAGGTACAATAGCAAACTATAAGCTAGCTATAAACACATATCGAAAAAATAAATAATGAAAGAGAAAAGCAGCGAACTACAGCACAAAGACACAGGTAGGACCAAATATTACTAGTGGAGTAGAGTATATATTTATAGGTAAGTATAATATAAATATATTAATTAACTATGAAATTGACTATATATAGTTTAGAACTAGTAGTTGGTACTGCTCTTAAGCATTAATATACCAACATGCCCAACAACCAGCGATCTATAGTAATCTTGTGCAAAACGTGTGGGCATAATCATCGTCAAGGGTGACCAAAAGTACACGTACAAACCCGATCAAATCCGAGTCTTTGACTGACCTGCATGCATGATCAGGCTGCAAAGCTACCCCTGCCGGCTCCGCCGTCCGGCCGCCGCTGCCGTGATTAATTAACCGCGCCTAGCCCATGGTAACTTATTAACATCTCTAGTCAACTACTAACTCCAAATCATCTAGAGCCAATATAATAATAAATTCATACAATAATTGCTTACTATACTATTAATATTTAGTCCCACCTATTATACACACGCTACGTTTTGAAGTTCGTGCTACAGCTGACTACAGATTCTATAGCCCGCTGCTATTCTCTCTTTTTTTTATCTCTTTAAACTATGTTTATAGCTGGCTTAATATTCTGTTATCGTACTTGCTCTCAGCTGCGAACTACTAATGTTAATGTACTTACCTTACATCATTTAGCTGGCTCGGTGGCTCGGTTCAAACTTGCTCTGATTGATCTATTTTTTTCTTTTAAAATTAAAAATATTTAATTTTGTATGGAAGGTGTTTTCACCCTGCCTCAGCTCGTTATGAAACAAAATAGTAAAAAAAAAGTAAATCATGATTTTGTTTTCGAAGAAAGCTTGATAAAAATCTGATTAGCTTCCACCCACCCCTCGATTTAGAATTAAATTGGGTTTGATCCCTCATGGGGATGTTCTCTCATTATTTGCATATAATATATCACTCCACAAACATGCAAGTTCATATTCAACTTCTATATCTTGTAAAAAAACCAAATTTGATTATGAATATACGTTAACTACTTATAGTTTAATTTGTTTTTTCGTTGCGAGATGTATAAGATGAATTTGAACTTGCACGTTTATGGCCTGTGATATATCACATGCTATTAATATATCTTCTTATTTTTAAAAAAAAATTTAATAACTATTTAAGTGATATCAAACAACGAGAGAACATCCTCTCGATGGATTAAAATAGTTTCTCTTAAATTGGCAGGTTGTATACAATGCTATTTTTTTTCATTGTTAAACTCGAGGAAATCACCACTGATAGGGAGTACAAAGACCAAACGTGGAATTAATTTGGAAAATTTTCTTCAGGATTAATTAATGGAAGACGGCAGTTGGCAAATCAAGAGGCACAAGAGACTACCAGAGCGAACAACTATAACAACTACTACCAGCTGCTACTGCTGACAATGCAAGCATCTCTTGATCTGATACGCCTGCAGGCCGGCTGCAGCTGATACGCGATGGGAGTACGTACGACTGAATGAAGCTAGCTAGCTAGTTAATGGCTGGAGAGAGGCAATCTAACTTGAAACATAATGGACAAGCTAGGTAGCATGATCTACGTTAATGCTGTTCTGAGAGGTGTATGTACGGTACGGATTAATTAATTAACTGATGATCTCTTGAGCATGATCATGTAGTGCAGTGCAGCCTAAGCTAGAGTTGATCGATCTCTGACCAATAAGAGTCGTTGCTGGACGCTTAATTCCCAAACAAACCAGCAATCGTATGATATATTCGTAGTACTATTCATGTTTATTTTTGCCCAAACAAACTAAGTTAATTAGTATATATATATATGATTCAGTATGACTACGCGTCCTCATAAGAGAAAATAAAACATAGCGAATATATTAAAGTTGCAGTAACCCTAAACAGCAGGCAGCATGCATGTCATTATCCTTTTGTTAAGATATGATAAAGACAAGGCTACAGAAGACGGGCCCGTCATACCATGGGCGATTATATATACAACAGCTGTCAAAAGTATGCCTAACCAATACCATTATTATACTGCTGAGCAGTACGTACGATCGATTAAAGGCGTTGATCTCCCTACTAATACGCTGATTGATTACGTACTACTAATACTAACAAAGCATGCACTCACCCTGCAGCTATAGCAGGGGAAAGCCAATAATGGAGACGACGACCAACAGCAGCAGAAGCAGGAGCAGCTAAGCTAGCTAGCCAGCAGAAGCCCATTCCCGACGCCAACCGCAAAGTTGGTAGAGGCAACCGAAACTCCCAAACACCACCAAAGGTATTTCCTTTCTTGAAACCAACTCCTAATTATTCACGCACCAAATTACAAGGAGAACAACAAGCTAAGCCAGGATTAGGTTAGCTATCTAGGTTAGTTTACAGGAAGAACAAACTCCCCGGCCTATTCCTGTACATGATCATTGACACTTCATCGGTTGTATTCAACAATTAATTGAACTCCAGATACTATATATATGGTATGTAATATGTATAATCCTGAACCATCGCTGACCGAAACATGAGGAATTGTTAACGACAGCAACATACACATATATATAATTCGTGCATGCGATTCTCGTTTCTCAATCAGCTTCAAACCGACTGTTGTTAAGTTTGATCTAAAATATTGAAAAAAGAAAGAAAGAAAGGAAAGAATGATCCATGCAAAAGCTAAGATGAAAGCTCCTATGTACGATCGATTCTACCGCCTTTGGAGCACAGCATGCATATAGTGCAATTCGGTAGGCACCTTTTCTTAGGTTTGGACATGCTTAATTAGATTCCAAAACCACCTCACCCTCCTCGTCCACCTTCTTCTTCCACCTATCCTAGCTAGCTTATTACAACCTACTGTTTCGGTTCCAATGACATGATCTCCAAAATACATCTTTGATTAATTTCTTTTATCTATATTGTATATAATAAATAAATATATTTTTTGCTTTTATTATTAATATTTTGTTAGACAAAATTATATATGTTCTCTTAGTGTCTTTATTTTTAATATTTTTAAAGTTACTGATAATCGCACTTCTAAATATTTAATCCTAATCTTGTTCAAAACATTAAGAATTATGAAATCGGAAGAGTTAAGTTAGAGCGAGCGAGCTAGCTTTTTCCCAGCTCTATCCTCTCGTGGACACACCTTCTCTCTCATCGTGCTGGATTAATATATTCTTCTCCATGCTTTAGCATCCAAGCTCCAGTTTCACCGAGCTAAGGTAGGGGGAAGGGAATTGAATTGAAGGTTCTTGGGTGCTTTCTTTTCCAGTTACCTCCCACCTTAGGAACCCTCGAAAAGACCCCTCACCATCTCCTTTGTGTCCTTGCTAACCAACTCCCCATTAAATCCCTCTCCGCGCGCCTTCTCGCTGGCCATTAGAGCTAGCTAGCGAGAGCTCTAGCTACAGCTATACATACGTGTACCCAACGGCCACGGTCACCCGCGCGAGCGAGCACGCGCACCAACCGATCGAGCCCAACAAGCTCGCTCGCTCTTGGTGCGCGCGCGCGCGGCGAGTTCGATCGATCGGTGTATACGCGTATCGTGTTGTGTATGCAAGGCGGTGATCACGGAGGCATGGAGATGGGCGTGGGGTCGTTCACCGGCGGCGGAGGAGGCGGGGAGTGCTCGTCGTCGTCGGCGACGGCGGCGGCTGCTGCGGCGGCTGCGGCGGCGGCGGCGGCGGCGGAGGCGGAGGAGCGGCAGCTGCTCAAGGGGGAGATCGCGGTGCACCCGCTGTGCGAGCAGCTGGTGGCGGCGCACGTGGGCTGCCTGCGCGTGGCGACGCCCATCGACCACCTCCCGCTGATCGACGCGCAGCTCGCGCAGTCCAGCGGCCTCCTCCACTCCTACGCCGCGCACCACCGCCCCTTCCTCTCCCCCCACGACAAGCAGGAGCTCGACTCCTTCCTCGTACGCATCTATTTAATTTCTTCCTGAGTTCGATGCGCCATGCTTGATTAATTTCACTAGGTTGAATTTAATCTTTGCATTTGTGCATGCATGCATACATTACATGCAAGTATCATACCGTACGCACTAGCTACATGATTAACTAGAAGCTATCCAGCCAAGCTAACTGTATATATGCATACTGAAATGATCGATGCAGGCGCAGTACATGATGCTGCTGTGCTCGTTCAGGGAGCAGCTGCAGCAGCACGTCCGGGTGCACGCCGTGGAGGCCGTCATGGCGTGCCGCGAGATCGAGCAATCCTTGCAGGACCTAACCGGTAATTAACTACTACAGTATCATACATGCATTACATATTTTCCACTATATATTACATATTTCATTACTTTCCCTCTCCTTCTCGCCGCCTTCTTTTCTGTATTTTTTTTTCGATTTCCATGGTGTCGTCTTTATGATTTTTGTTCACCTTTTTGCTCTTCTCGTTAGTTAGATTAGATGGTGAAATTGTTTTTTTTTAGTTCGTTGCCGCTAGCTCTTGCAGTGATATATTAGTTGCAGCGTCTTGTTCAAACATATATATGGTCTCTTGATTCCCTCTCAACAGATTTGCATGCCTTGACTTCTAAGGTTCCGGTTTCTACAGGTGTATTCAGAGGAGATTAGTTAAATATGAAAACTCTAACACACGTACCTAACAGCGACTTTATTGCTGATGTTTATACTCGAATCAATGGAATGATAAATAACACGGAATTACCAAGGCCCACATAGATGGCAGCCCGTATACTAGGGAAAGCCCAGAAGCCCAACGGTAGATGTCACGAAAACAATTTCAGATATTCCTTTTTAGCATAAAATCCTTCCAGTTCAAAAACAAGGGCACCAATTTTTTTTATAATCATTTTGTGTTATTAACAGAGAATAGCATAGTCAAGGTTTCTAAGGCCTATATATATATATATGTGTACGTAGTTAGACGTGATACCCTTGGTAAAATTAACTTAATCAGTTCATATATATACTGATATGAGGTGACTAGCTAGCTATTTTTCTTCTTTTCTCACAAAGTCTCAATTGGAGGTTTATGATCAGTTGAAATAAAAAAAATTCCAACAACAAAATTTGAACCAACTATTTGGCATAAATCTAATGAAACTATCCTTTGCTAAGAGAACCATGGGTTGGATATATACATCCTTATTAGTGTAGAGGCTGGATATTAATCTGTTATCTAAGAAAACAATCCATGAACTTATAAAATGCATTTAGCCATCTCCGGCGCAGATCAAGCGCTGCCATTCGGTCATGGCCGATTGGTTGGTTGGTTGCTAGCTAGCGAGAAATCGCTGAGAGGATATTGAAAAGCTAGTAGGTAGTGTAACAGCTACCTAAGCCTTATTTGGAGAGCTTTGAGATTTTAGGAAGCATAGCTAGTTAGTAGTCAATCACTCAATTGGTGAGAATATGGAAAAAAATAGGTTTTCTAACTTTAAACTTCTAGTTCATTTTTTAAATTCAATAACTATAATTTCTTAGAATCTAGATGAAAATTTAAACTGTTTGAAAAAAAAGGTTATATAAAAGAAGCTACGACTATCAAAAGCTCCCTCAAACAGAATCTAGGTTACATGAAAGTCATCTAGGTTCCATGCTAATCCTGGCTCGGAGTTGAAAGTCCATGCCTCTCGTCTAATCGACTAGCTAATTAAATGATTCAGGTGCTTCGCTTCTGTCGAATAATATATATCACACACGACCATGGAAAGTGGAAGGTGTGTCACATGACATGATATGACCGGCCGATCGAGCTCTTGGCGATCGTCCTCTTATCATGAGGGGCATCGTCATAATCATGATGCATCGATTGGGATTCAACTATAGTAGTCATTGCATATTCAAAAAGCATCAGGGTTGATGTAATGTAACTGAAGAAAAACACCCATGATGATTGGCGAAATAGATGTTGAAAACTTAGCATGCGCATACATACGTAAACTTCAATTGTAGGTAGAGAAAAATTACATTTCACCTGTAAATTAGGACACTGGGAAGTTGTTAAATTACTAGTCCACTCTTTTGACCTGGATTCTAAGGTTCTTTATAGGTTGAATTTTTATTTTTATTTTTTATTTTGGTGTGTGTGCGCGCGCGCGCTTCAGTTGGTTTTGGTTGCTTTAGAGCATAACATCAAAGCCATGCTACTTTAAAAAAACTATAATAATAATAATAATAATAATAATAATAATAATAATAATAATAATAATAATAATAATAATAATAATAATAATAATAATAATAATAATAATAATAATAATAATAATAATAATAATAATAATAATAATAATAATAATAATAATAATAATAATAAGAAGAAGAAGAAGAAGAAGAAGAAGAAGAAATAAAGACGAAGATCGAATTGGAGCTATAATATGCTAACTTATCTAGCTAGGCAGTTCAAAGTACACTGGTAGCTAGCTAGTAGTTCCTGCGAGCTGTTTCATGCAGGCAATGCAGCTGGCGAGAGCTGCATATGCAAAACTCCAAATCAGAGACATCTTTTCGATTGGGTAGCTTTCAAGCTGTTTCAAGTGGCCATGCGCATAGCTCGTACAACTGTCTATCTCTGCTCGATCTCACACGTTCCAGTTCATGCAGCTCGATCGATCGCCGACGTCGACAAAGCCCTCATGCATGCCTCCGTACTGCATGCATGCCCTAGCTAATTAGCTCTAACTCACTGTGTAGCACAATCTAGATTGAATATAACCGACAAACTTTGCTAGCTACTAGCTCTTCTTTTTCATGTTATTATACTTGCTTCAAGCTAATCTTTAATTTTTCATGTTATTAGATATAGGAATAACTAATCAAATAAATTAAAGAAATAGGACAGTTACAAGAGATGTGATCATCAATTAATTAACTACAGTAGTTGATTTACACTTACCTGGATGCATATGCAATTGATCATCAGGTGCAACTTTGGAGGAAGGGACAGGGGCGACCATGTCGGAGGACGAGGATGAGACGGCGCCGATGCTGGAGGGCCCGATGGATATGGGCTCGGACGGGCACGACCTCATGGGCTTCGGCCCGCTCATGCCCACCGACTCCGAGCGATCCCTCATGGAGCGGGTCAGGCAAGAGCTCAAGATTGAGCTCAAGCAGGTACATGCATGCATTGTTATTAATTTCTTCTTACGTCTTGCATGCACCTACATTCGTCTCTTCAACTCATGCATGCATATATCTTATCAATGTTTAAGCGTGTTCATTTAACATGCTTAAACATTGATAAGAGACTGTTCATGCAAGGATCATGCCGAGCTAGCTAAAATAGTACTACTGCTGCTAGCTAGCTGCTTTTTAGGGCAAAAACAGTGCATGATCAGCTTAAATGAGCTAGTTACTAGCATGAAAATCTCCTTCTTAAGTTCCTTGTACTGTGTCATAGAATACTTTGACTGAAGACTGAGCCTAGATCATTGCATATCATATTAATTGGTGTCATGTTTGATGCGGCGCCTCAGCTATATATGTGACTGACAATAACTGACTAAGACTAGCTACTTCTGGATGCATGCATGCTATTGCTAGTTCTTCAATCAGTTCCTAAATTAATTATATTGGATTATGTAATTAACTAGAGGGTGATACGTACTTTTGCAATCTTATCTCTGATTAAATTATTAAATTCGTTACAGGGCTTCAAGTCAAGGATTGAGGATGTGAGAGAAGAAATATTGAGGAAGAGGAGGGCAGGAAAGTTGCCTGGGGACACCACCACCATACTCAAGCAATGGTGGCAGCAACACTCCAAGTGGCCATACCCCACGGTGAGTACATTGTACCTATCAAGCATGCTTGCAAGAGTGCAACTAACTAGCTACTAGTCGAGATAGCCCTTCTTAGCTGTTCTCCAACTTGTTGATCAATATATCTTGATGTGCTAACTTTACAATTAATATTTATATATAATATAGCAAGAAGCAATAATATTTATTAATTAGCTAATCAGATATGCACGAAGAATTGCATGGATATAATACAGTTGGTTGAGTGGCATATATATTTTCTTGGTACAGGAGGATGATAAGGCAAAGCTTGTTGAAGAGACTGGCCTGCAGCTCAAGCAAATCAACAACTGGTTCATCAATCAGAGAAAGCGTAACTGGCACAACAACTCACAGACATCAACCCTTAAATCAAAGCGTAAAAGGTAAACAAACCGTTATCCAAGTATTTTATCCACAGTAATACAATGTTGATGTTTCAGTAATTAACAACTGAATTATAACACAAACTTCTTTTTTCTATATGTAATACAGGTAAAGGGCAGAAAAAAATGTATACCTGACGTACTCGCTAATCAAATCAAAAGAAGACATGGTGACTCATAAGTAATAAGATCATCTTAAATTGTATATCTAGTTATTAATTAGTCAGAGGTGACAAATTCATGACATACATACTAGTCTGACCACTGGCATATGCGTTGTAATTTTTGAGCAGATATGCTCAAGCAAATTCTTCTTGTTGGTATAGTTTTTAATTTTGTTGTCGTGGGTGTACCTGCATGCATACATAACCCCAAGACTAATTCATTTGCTGTGCATATACATTGACCATTCTATAACCTTCTGCTAGTCAAATAATCAAAAAGCGCACGCCATTGCAATCCAGCATTAATTCAACTGCGTTTATGGATGGAACGGAATCTCTATCTATATTTGTGGGCCTTGTATCAAGTAGTAGCAGGTATGCCAAACTGGAGTTGGACTATTGGTGATTAATTGGACAATTAGGCCTAACCAACACCACAAGACAAATTAAGGCTGGCACTAGCCTCTCATGATAATCCCGAAAATTTCCGGCGTATATGCGAGAGCCCTTCCAGCAAGCCAGCAGGGACACAAGACCAACCATATATATATTCACGTTTCTGTTTTTTAGTGTGTGGTTAGTGATAGTTTTGCATCGTCTTCCTCATTAGTATGTGGCTTAACATCTTCCAGATAATCGCTGTGCTGATTGTCAAATATTCCAATCAATTAAGGCTGGAGCTAGTGCACGGCTAGCTACGTCTCAACCAGAACGGACAACTCCGTTGAGACCTCACTGTCTCGGAAGACGCTGCACGTTGGTTCCCTGAAGATTGGCAGCGAAAAACAGCACCCATAATCCATATAGAGGTTGCTATCCAGCTACTCATGTCCAAAATCTATAAAGCAACCAAACATATACTGATCGTAAATTCAAAGTTCTGGTGAAAAAAAAAAAGTATCTGATGCGTCAATCTGTGTTGCTCTCAGACGTAATATTCAGAGATTCAGACATAACACGGGTCACATACAAGCTCCAGTTGTTGATTGTTCGTTGTAGACAAGCAACAATCTACACAGGCAATGTTATCACCAAATTCTGATAAAAAGTTCCAAATCTAAGTTGACATTTCATGGCGATCCTTTATTCAGAGAAGAACGTATTCAAGAATGATCAACACGGGGAGCTGATAATTTCTACGAAACGGGTTCACAGTATACCACACCCGGAGGAATCCAAATTATGTTTGCAGTTTACCACCCAGACCAGTCACAGATCGATTAATATATCGACATCACCTATAATAACACTACAACCACCCTAATGTTTACATTGTTCACAATATACCGATTTCGTCACAAAGACATATCTCCAATTTCTGCATTTCCTTTACTTGCCGTAGTAACCTTGTGGAGGAGGGTAGGAGCCCTGAGGCGGGTAGGAACCAGGTGGGGGATAAGAGCCAGGGGGAGGGTATGCACCACCCTGGGGGTAACCTGCCGGAGGGTAAGCAGCTGGTGGATAACCTTGAGCAGGCGGAGCAGGAGGATAGCCACCATAAGGCTGACCGTATGCTGGCTGTTGTGGTGTGTACCCAACAGGAGGTGGAATAGGCTGATCGATGCGCGACATTTGCTGCATTGGAGGCACTGCCATGGGCTGTGGGCCGAACTTCCCATCTCTCTTGTCCATTTCAATTTTGTGTTGGGTCTGCACATGCATTTCAGTGGATAAGATGGATACGCAAAGGTTAAGAAGAGTGAGTAAATAATCACCAAAGATATTATGTATGTTTACCTGCATACAGGCGCAAACCCTGCAAAAAAAAAATGGTGCACAGGTCACAAGATTATCAACATTGGGGGACTTAACTATGGAGAAGAGAAAATAACAGAGTTATGAGAGCTTACGAGCAGTAGACCATATCAGACAAGCAGGAAAGGATTTGGGAAGCCTCTGAAAGCTCTTCACTACCAACAATAGCGGCAACTATAGAGAAGATACAAGCAATTTGTTGGAGGCAGAACATGAAGCCCTACAGGAAAAGAGTGATCTTCTGCAGTGTTATAGTCTCATAGAAAGGGAACATAGGAATTATACCTAAAAGTTAGTAAAACAAACAACAAGAGGACAGTGACAGTACAATGATGCAGTTATCGCATTTAGTTGTCTGTATGTTGAATTCATCTTGGAGCAAGAAGCGGGTTGAAGCAACTGAATTACCAAAGCACAGAAACACCTGAAAAATAAAGTACTAGTTAGTTCTAAGGTAAGCACAAAAATAGCATAATTAAAGGAATAGTGACAGTATTGGAGATTACTCCATTCAAGACAAGCATTACATGTTCCCGTTCTAATCTGAGATATATACGATTGATCAAACAAGATAACAACAAAATACAGCCAAATTATCCTTACCCCAGAATCATTGACCCTGGTGCTCTTTCATTGAAAAAAGAAGAACAGAAAAAATATTGTCATACTGAACTGTATTTCAGACTATCAGAAATACCATGAAAAGCATGCTTTTTGAGCACAACAAATATGTGAAATCCAGAAATCAGTAGAAAATATAGGTAATCAAATATTACAGAAGGAACCATCAATACTCCTTTTCTTTAGCAAGGGGTGGCCACCACTTTCCCCCCCCCCCCAAAAAAAAAAATAAATAAATAAATAAATAATCATATTACCGGAAATGGAACAGTCTTTACAGGCTGATTACAAAGCCAGATAGCAAAGAAAAGAAATATAAAAACCATCAATACTCATAGCCACATGAGAACTGTTACATGTGACATGCTGCCTATAAATTCAGCCTAATCAGTCATCAAAAGGTTATCAGCAAAAAAGGGAATGGATCTTGTACCTCAGTAGCAAGACAGAACTCTGGGCATCGGCTTTCACCACACTTCCCACTGCATGGCATGTACCCAGCACAGCAGACATATCTACAAGACAGAGGTGCAGGGGAATGGATTCAGGGAGGTCTAACACAATGTTCGTATCTAACCATAGCAAGTAGAAGAAAATAGAAGAAACCCCACCTTGACATGTCATTATACAGAGCCCTTTTGCGAAGCATGTATGACACACATGGTCCACTGAACAGAAAGGGGGGAATGTAAAAGATCAAATACTGGGTAAAAAATTAACATTTCTAAATGCTAATTCTGCCTACTCAAAGACACCACAGAATATCATTGTACAGATTAATGAAACACGACTCCGTTTAAATGCAATGCCTGTGGAAAAGCAGAGTACCCAGAAGACTAAAATCTTTTTTGTGGATAGCTATTGATGATAAGGTGACATGGTCCAGAATGAGCTTGAGGGCGGGAACTTAAACAAGAAATAGAACTAGACAAATGAAAGGACTACCATATATGCTCTCAACGCATTTTATTGCAATTCTTATGGAATGTACAAACACTGGCACCAATGTGGATTCAAAAGATATCTTTCTTTTAGGGCCTGCAGGTACTGAATGGGCTTTGTGGATCCATCACGCTGATAGTATCTTATCGAATATCCCGTATTACCCCATATGGGTCATTGCGATAGAGACAAAATGCCTTTGCCTTGCGGCTGCAGAGGAAAGTAATGCTGGTCGAGGAGGTGACTAGGGAAATCAGGAAAGCATTGCATGAAAATCAAAGAACCTATGCGGTGACTGCTCATTGACGCTGCTGATGCTTGAAGCTAATGGAGCTGTCTTTAAAACGACAAACTTCAGTTTAGTTCCTATCCAGGAACCGTTTTACTTTTGCCATTATGAGAACTTTGAAGCGTAATGTTGAACAAAATATATTACATGAAACAGTAATGTGTCATCCTGGATCTGATTCCTGAGGCCAATCTAAATTCCGCGGTCCTTTCAGTAATAAAGAATAAAAGGAACTGACAAAGGTGCAACGCGTCCCTTAATGTCGCAATGTATTCCTCGCACCTAAAATCCGATCAAATTTAAGAATGCAAACAAGCGCATAATAAACAGGCATTAAGAATCTAGGCAATCTCCACGGCTGCGAGTGATTGAACAACTCAATGCGGAATCACACATTGTCCTTATGCTCATCAGACTTAGAATTCCTTAAACCCTAGTTTAATTCAGAAATAAAAAGACAGATTCGCCCAGATCTAGAAGAAAAGGGGGGCGTCGAATATATCAGGTCGGGGTAAAAAAAAATGGAGCCGGGGAGATCGACGAGGATCGCTTACCACCAGAGCGCGAGGCAGCAATCTGCATCAGCAGCAGCAACAACGACAGGGAGAACCCATCAGAACGAAATCTCGCCATGGGAAGGCGCAGTATTAGCATTCGCAGAGAGGGGGGAAAAAGAAAAGTTGACATACATGGGAAGTCGGCCTGGATGGTGCTGGTGAGATCGGAGTGCCAGAGGTTGCGGTAGCTCTGGCGGAGCTGCATCTTGTCGAGGTTGGCCTGCGACGACGCCATCGCCTCCTCCTCCTCCTCCCCGCCGCCGGCGGCCTGCACGAGGGGATGGATCGGCCGTGGACTCTGCGGGAGATGTGGGGGGGGGGGGGGGGGGATCGCACTTGCACCAAGCCACTATCCTTCTCTCTCTCTCTTTTTGGGGCGCGGGGGAGGAGGGGAAAAGAGGGGAGGAAAACGACGGTGTTTCGGTGGGGTTTCGGCCGTTGGATCGGGTCCGATTTGTGCGGCCTCGTTAACTGATGGCCATGGCCCGCCGGTCAACGAGGCGGAGTCGTCCAAAGTTTTTCCCCAATTTTCTTTTCTTTTTTTTCCCTTGGTTGTAGAGTGTTTTGGACGTGATCGACCGAGGTAATGGACGGCACGAACGACGACGGCTTGCACAGACGGCGGGTGACCGGCCCCGGCGACAACGATGCGAGTCCATTTGGTTCGTCGCCACTCGCCAAGCCAGCAAGGTGCAGGCGTGCAGCTAGAGCGGATCTGCGGAGACGGGGTGGGGTTTACGGAACACGACGAGCGACCCAACGATCCAAAAGTGACAAAACGTGGAATGTAAGACTGGGCCTCATAGTCTATCAGCTGGGCTAGATGGTAGTGGGCCTTGATGGGTTCCATGCTGTTGGTATGTCGTAAGGCGGAATAAGTCCACATGGCAACCCTCACCTTTACGCTGAGTTTAATTTACAAACCCTATCCGTAATGCCAGAAATATTAAACTTTCAGCTTGCAAACCCGATTAAATTAGATCCTTCACTCGCGCTGTTGATGGGTGGTTTCGCTGACGTGGCAAGTTGACCCGGTTTACTCGTGCTGACTAGCTGTTTACGTGACAAAACAAAAGTGGGTCTCACATGTCTCCATTCTTATCTCTCCCTCCTCATCCTCCCCACCCCTACTCTCCTACGGCATTGGCAGTGACGGTGGCTGGTCCCTCGGACGCATTTCTCCATCCTCTGCAACGACACCACCCCCGCTCACTAAGAACCCTATCCTCGTCAAGGTCTACCAATGGTAGCGACAAGCAACATATATACCACGGAATAAGTCCACTTTAACTTCCTTAACTAGCAATCGAATCTGTTTTGTATCCCTAAACCATAATACCGAATATCTCGACCACCCCCCAACTATTAAAACCAGTGTAATTTGATTCCCTCGGCGGAGTCCATGCCTTCTACTTTACCCTACGATGGAGTCCATGGGTGGCGATGACACGACAAGGTTGGCGCAGCCTGGTTGCGAAGTCATCGGGGAGCTGGAGATCTCCCCTCCGACCCTCTCCCTCATCTTGTTGTTGCCCACCACGGCGCCACCCCTGTCACTCGTCCATCGAGAGGCCCTTCATGTGACGGAGCATAGGGGGATAAGAGCGGGGAGAGATGGCGTCGGCATCGACCTCGTCGACCATGTCTCTACCGCTTCCTTCGTGATCACCGTTGTGGGCTCCCCTTCACCGCTTCGACCCTCACTTGCCTGTCACCGCCGCTGCTCCAGCCAAAAGGAAAGAGAAAGGGAAGAGAAAAGAGAAAGAGAGAAGGGAGAGAGGGATGAGGAAGAAAGGATGTGGGCCCACATATCAGTGGGTCCCACAAATGTTTTTTTTGTGTGAATGATAAATGGGTCCCACGTATATGTTTTTAATTCTAGTGCCACATAAACGCTACGTGGGACTAAGACAGATCGACACTGTCACGTAGGAGCCACGTCAGTGAAACCGCCGAGAGTGTATCAGGAATTGTGGTTTAAGAATGCGAATCAGATTTAGCCATTAGTTAAGGGAGTCAGAGTGAACTTCTTCCTATACTCCACAAATGTGCCTCCGCTTTCCCTTCGTCTCCTGACATCGGACTGAACATTTGATGGTCCTGTTAAACTGAGCACAAGGCACGATCCAGTCCAGTGAGGATTTAAATTGATTATCCTTTATTTCCTGGGCCAGGCTTATCTTACAGGATGGAAAGACGAGGAACTTTTTTATTTTATTTTTATTAAAATATTTATAAAAATGTTTTATTTTACATATTTAAATTGATCATGGTGTGCTTCCTCCATTAGGTCCTGTTTAGCTCTCACCCCAAATTTTTTTCACCATGTCACATCGAACGTTTAACACTTTAAGAAGTATTAAATATATGCTTAAAAAATAACTAATTGCACATATTACGACTGATTTGCAAGACGAATCTTTTAAGCCTAATTGCTCCATGATTTAATAATATGGTGCTACAGTAAACATGTGTTAATGATGGATTAATTAGGCTTAATAAATTCGTCTCGCGGTTTACCGACGGATTCTGTAATTAGTTTTTTTACAGTGTCCGAACACCTTATGCAACACCATATATAATACCTGATGTGACACGCCAAAACTTTACACCCTGGATCTAAACACCCCCTAAATAGGAAACCCTAGCCACCAGAGTGCTAGCAATGTAGAGTTTAATCCAGCCCAGGATATACTTGATGGTGCAATAAAAAAGGGGGGCCTCCGATGCAAAGGTGGATTCTCGATCTCGACCGTACATAAGAGATCGAACGGATAGTCAAGCACGTTGTATGGACGATTCGCAGGGGAATAGGGGATACGGCAGATCAATTCGTAAGGAGATCGACTCTGATCGAAGGCGGTACATAACAGTACTGTAGTCATACGAACGGAATGTGCGAACTATGGAAGAAACGATGGGGAAATACACGGCCATATGGCGGCCATGGTCGCTGTCGTATGATCGAGCTGAGCTCACGCGAGGGAGGAAATCGTACGGGCGGCCATGGCGGCATCGGCATGTGACCTCATCACCTGAAACGGCCGAGCTCCGCCTCTACTCACTGCATGCCGCGAAATATCAAAGCAGTGACGTCGCTGCTCGCACCGCAATAATTTGGAATTGTTGCCAACTTTTTTCCCATGGCTGATCCCGTCATTCAAATCTGTACAATATGATATTATGATTTGCTTGCAGGATACAGTACGTCTTTCTGGTGTCATATCTAATTAATCACACGTGATCGGAGAGATGTGTACTCGACAATTCAAATGCATAACACAAATTGATATGTTGCTGCCATCTTTGGCTTGACAGGATCATGTGCTCAATAGCTTGCAGTGGTGATGAACAAACCAGCTGCTGGCCGTTAATTCGGTTTGGGGCACACGTGAGAATTGGTTGGGGGTAGGCAAGCAACAGAGGTGCTGTCAGGAGAAAGGGGATTAACGATAAGAAGCTAGATTCGGATTAATCCTAATCACAATCTTTCAAGGGCTACAATTAAAGGCCCTGCTTTACACGGAAAAGGAGTCTTCTGGTTAACTCATGCCGGAGATTTGAGTGGTAAGTGGATTAGCCCGTGACGATGAGGAGATCAGGAGAAGTCAAAAGGCAAAGAGATAAAGATGTGACACAAGGCGCACTGGTTTTAGAATTTAAGTTGGGGTGACGTGGGATTGTCTTATCCTCTAATCACCCTCCAATTGGACTCATACAAAGCAAATATCTGGCCTACCCTGTAAAAATAAAAACCCTCTCTTCTTTTTTTTTTGAGCATTTAGCTAGCCTATCCTGTATTTTCAACTTGCTTATATAAAAACAAACTTGAGTGCATCATTGGCACGTGGAACGGCCGGTTTGTATGTAGTGGTACTCTACGAATTTACAACAGCTGGGTTCAGAGTTTGCAGCATTTATTATAGACAGCGTGGCATCCATACAATCCACAATTGACACCTATTTGCAGTTGTCCCGTGCTCAAAGATATGATGAACTCACAAACAACAGCAGGTTGTACAATTAACAGCGAGTGTTGCAATTAGCTCAACCTAGAAGCTCCAGCTCTTGCACGTGAATATATTTGCATAGAGTCCAAATTTTGACCGGAGGAAAAGTAATGCGTGAAGGAAAGACCAGCAATACTAGTAGTGGGGTAGGTTCTGATTACTGAAAGGCCCTAAACGAGTAAACGACAGCTCCCGGTCAAACTCAAACCAACAACGAAGGAGAGAGAACGAAAAAAACTCCCGTTGTGATCATCAGCGGAAACTTCTCCATGGTTTGTCAAACAAGAAACATGATCAGATCACCATCAGAAGCTTCTTGGCGTTTTGTCAAACAAGCAACAGTTGCTCGTGATTCCGTCACCAAGATTCTCTTAAATATTCAGTCGTCAACTGATCGAAATCCATCGTTCTGATTTCTGAAACCAGAATGCCAGAAACACGCAGAGGGCACACGCAACAAACAAACCCACGGTTAATTCGAGAAGAATACCCTGATATTGCAATTAACCGAGATGCTCCCGGGCCAAACAATTCAGAGTTTCAGACGCAGGCAGCAGTGCTGCTACCTGGCAGAAAGCTCGCCTTGGAAGTGTTGATCTGGTCAGCAGCTATACTCAACTCAGCCAGACAAGCCGTCCAAGACTCTCCAAGGGGTCAGGTCCCAGCACTCAAAACCCGTGAGAATCCTCGTAAAAAATGTGGGGGAACGGGACGGCCGGTCGCTTAATAATCCACGACGATCTGCAGGGCGGCTAGCCATGGAGGACCGAGTTTTTTTTTTAGGCCTTTGGACTCGTGGCTATCACGAGGGCGGCCGTTAACGGTTACCGCATGCGCGCGCCGCCCCGCGGCTTCCCAACTCCACCACAAGGGATCGGGACGTTGGCGCCGCTGCGAAATTGTAGCGGAAATCACGGCATGTGGAGAGGGGGAGTACCGGTGGTGGTGTGCGTCGAAATCGATCGCGGCCATGTGGTTTTCAACCTGGGATGTTTTGAACTGCCCCGATCGCGTTTTGAGTCACATGGCTGCCATGTGTTGTGTCCAAAAGCACGGGTTTTTTTAGTCGTGTGTACTGCTATCAGCCTGTCGTTTTTTTCCGTTTGGTCATTACACGATCGGTTTTCTGATAAACGTTGCAAACGAGAGACAGGTGGATAACAGGGATCGCGCTGACAAATTGCACTTCCTTCTAGAAGTAGTACGTCGCTCCATTTGGCTCATGAATAAGCAATGAACAACTCATGGCAGCCGGTCCTATGATTCTGAGGGCCCTAAGCGAACTCATCGCGATGGGCCCTCTAAACTATATATATAAAATTTTATGATATAGAGATAATAATTTTACTTGCAAAACGATAACAAATACACCATATATTAAATTTAACATGTCTGGTAATTATGAAGAAATAAAAATAACAATATATTTGTAACTTGGAACTAATATCATTATTCATTAACTTAATGAAGAACAAAACCCCATCATATCCGTTGCTCCCATGAAAAGATACTTCTTCGGGCATTTCTTGATGCAAAATCATCAATAACGGTATTAAAATCAATAGTGTTCAAGATATCCTTCTCAATTGAGCACATAGCCAAGCCATTTAACCTTTTTTTGACATAGTTAATCTCAAATAGTTCTTCAAAACTTCAAGTTTGAGAAACTTCTTTCAGCTGAAGCTACCGTCATAGGTACAGTTAATAGATTTCGATAGGCAACTAAAACATTTGGATAGCAATCTGCATCCATAACGAACTTAAGAATCTCAGGCGCAAACATCGAAGAATCACACATTTAATTCTGAATAAAAAAACATTGATCTCAACATCGGATGAGGTACTAGACTACTAGTATTAGGTGTTGGCCCCTCCACCATCATGGGCTCCGGCGGTCGCCTCGGCTGCATAGGGCCAGGGCCGGCCCTGCATGGCAGTTGTTAGTAATAAAAGATTTTGTTAACTAGTCCTGAAAGGCATAGCCGCCGTAATTCGTACTACACGGCAGCACAAAGTGTTCCCAGGAATTTCCATCCACCGGTTTCTTTTTCTCCCCTGAATTTATCTACGTGTTCATGTACTGCTACAATCGCCATAATTCTCTAGTTTCGTACACCTGAAACCGCGATGAAAACTCGTTGAGAAATACGCAAGCCGCAAGCGCGGGGGAAGGTTCTCAACGAAGCCCACGCAGATGCTGACGCAGCGCAGGCGTGGCGACTAAGGGCAGCCACGGGGCCCACCAGGTGAGCCCGTGGCCGTGGGGTCGGGTACTCGCGTGGGCCCACCTGGCCGGTCAAATCTTGTTCCTTCCTCCCTTTACTACCCGTCGTCGTCGTCATCTTCTTCTTCCTGGTATTCGCTATTCATCTCTGACCCTGCGGCGCACCAAAACCCCCGTTTCCGTCTCGCGTTCTTCGATCGCCTCCGCTTAAAAAGCTCGCCGCCTCCGACCGAATCCACTCCCCCCCCATCAATCCCGCAACCCTACCGAAACCGGTAAACCACTGGAAGAAAGCGGGTTCGATCGATCGATCGATCTTGCTAGTGCGGCTATATCTGCTAGTAGGTGAATTGGTCGCTCGACGTTGGTGATCATGGTGGAGAAGACGAAGCTGCAGCTGCCGCTGGTGCACAACGAGCGGCTGTGGGCGCGGCCGTGGCGGTGGGCCAAGACGGTGTTCTTCCTCGTCTCCATGCTCGCCTCGCTGCTGCTCGTCTGCGCGCCGCCGCTGCTCATCGTCGTCCTCGACCTGCTACTCCCGCCCGCGCTCCTCTCCAACTTCCACCGCGCCGCGAACCACCCCACCTCGCTCATCGACCAGGCCAGGGGCTTCCACTTCCGGTCATCGCTCGTCGACCTCCCCGCCGTCTCCGCCGCGCGCTCCCTCCTCATCCTCTGTGAGTAACCCCACCACGCAATCGGTATCAAGCGTATGTGCGATTCGATGCGATCCCCTTAATCTTTTTTTCTGCGTGTTCATCGATCTCATGTCGTCATGGTGGTTTGGCTGACGAGCACTTGGTGGGCGTTGTTGTGCAGGCGCGTACACGGCGTGCGGGGGAGGCGCGGCCTACCTGTGGGTGGCCGTGGCGTGCAGCGTCGGCTCGGTGTGCTACGTCGTCGCCAAGGCGGCCGTGGTGTTCGGCGCGGCGCCCGACAGGGCCGTGCTGGGGCTGCAGGGCAAGGGCCAGCTCGTCGCCGTGGAGGCCATGTTCCTCATGTCGCTCGCGCTCGCCGCCGCGCACATCGCCATGGCCTACCGCGCCAGCTGCCGCGAGCGACGCCGCCTGCTCGTCTACAGAATCGACGTCGAAGCTGTAAGTGATCGATTCCCTTTCTTTGCTCGTATCGTATCAATTGTTTCTTTTACCGAGTCCATGTCACGCCCGCACAAAACAGAGAAACAAACGATTCCGCCTAGCTGTAGCTTGTAGTGTGGATTGGAAACATATTAAACCCAAAATATGCAAGCTTTCCAGATTCCAATCCGTGTTTTAGAGAGATTCTGTAGAACAATACGCTTGCCGGGTGTATCCTGTATTGCCCATTTGCGCAAACGCTTTCGGCCAAATGTGATATAGGTAACGCGTCGACATAGTCAAATAGCGCCATGGAATCTGCTTTAGCCCTTGCCGACCAAGCCGTGTACTCCCTTCGTCCAAAAGAAAAAAAAAAAGACAAACCTTGGGTTTCCGTGCCAACGTTTGACTGTCCGTCTTATATAAATTTTTTTTATAATTAGTATTTTTATTATTGTTAGATGATAAAACATAATTAATACTTTATGCGTGACTTATTTTTTTAATTTTTTTCATAATTTTTTCAAATAAGACTGACTATCAATTATTGGATACGGAAACCAGCGTTTATCTTTTTTTTTTTGGACGGAGTACCTGTGAGCAACTGTGCGAAGGAGGTCCTCGCGATTTCTGCATTGGAGATTCCTGATTCCTCACGCACAAACTAGCCCCACCAAACTTCTTACCTCCACCTGAAATTTCAGATAGCTACGAGTAATTACTGCAGTAATGGTTTACTAGCTGAATTGTTCCCACGGTTTAACTGGTAACTGTTGCTCTGGAATGCTGTTAATTAGCGATTTAGTACTGGTTCAGTTTTTTTCACATTTATCATTAAAAAATAGACTGTCAAATCACTCCAAACCGATTAGAATTTGAAGGAAAACCCGCATGAAGAAGATTAGTCTAACATAATGGCCTGAGCATATTTTCCATGCGTTGGATGTCACAGCCTAGTGGACCGATCAGGACAGTTCTCTAGAAATATCTGGAAAATGCAGCCATCCGTGTACAATGAGCTCAATTGACATCACAACTGCAATTGTTTACCCTGTCACTATCCCTCACATCCGTGACAGTTTCTAGCGTGATATTCATGGCCAGGGAATCTACACGACCCTGTCAAATTTTAACTGTCACAGTATTGAACAGGGAGAAACCCCAACTATTATCTTGAAGTTTCTAACGATTATTTACCCACAAAAGAACTGCATTGAATTGTATTAGTTGCCGGAAATAAAACAGTTTCCAATAGCATCTTGCTAATGAACTCTTTGCTGGATCATGCAGGTAAGGCTAAAGGGAGGCCAAACGCCCAAGTCCCTGAAGCAGCAGTTCGCCGTATGACACTCGCTGCCTGGCCGTTGCAGTCGGACACAAACTGAATGCCACGGCATGGCAGGGCCCTGCAGGGTTCGTTCCTCCGGTCTCAATTTTTGGTTCAAGTAGATGTGTACAACACGACCGTTCACTGTACCTCAAGTGAAAAATAGTGTAAAGAAGATGTAAATACGAAACATTTGTGCTTCGGCCTCCTGCAGTCAATGCAAAAATAGGATGAGCCGTTCGGCAGATGCATGCTTGTCATTTTTGGTGGGTTTCCCATTTGTGAGCTGTGAGACGGAGGGGGTGGTTTCGTCGTGTGAATTTCCACAGGTGCGCATCGGTGACGATGCACATGATTGGATCAATTCGAATCATCTGGCTATCAGGTCGATATCTCTCCCCTGTGAGAGTGGCACGTTTGAGTTGAGTCCGTTTCAGAAGAACGCGTCTCAATCTTAACTGTTTTCTGTTTAAAATAAGTACTAATTATCTTAATTTTTTAAAAAAGTACTCCTATCTGAAGCATTTTTGAGCCATCTCCAAACTCTATTGCTTAAACAGAGTAACAGCGTATCTTCGTTTGGAAGATGAAGATATCCTAATACAATCAGTCCTACCTCAGTCCTCAGACCAGCGTTTTGCTATTCATAAATCTATAAAAATTGACCAGCACCGGATCTCATCAAAATTATAAAACTATACAATACTAATATACGGTGACAAAAAAAAAAGTTACTACAAGGAACTGCTTTGTATAATTCTCTGAATTCGCAAGGTCCTCACATGATCATGTGAATGGTCATTAACCGTGGTCAAATCAAACACAAATATATCGAAATTTATCAGGTAGCTCCATATGAAAGACGCTGAAGATTTCTTCCATGTTTCACCTAACTGATGGAAAAAAAATTCTGCTAACCGTAGAAAATTCAGACCAATGATCAATGACGCACCTGATGATAATTTAAAAGTAGCACTGCCCAATTGAATCGATGCTAGCAAGTCTTCTAAACGGCCAATAAGCTTGGCAATCTAGACCCTTGACCAAAGGGGTAAAGAAGACTTTGATTTGCATACAGCTTCTAGAAGTCCCAGTCAGCCTTTTCCACTAGAGGGGCCGGTTGAACGGAAACCACAAGTTTGTGTCTGGGCTACTACTAATAATTGTCAAATGTATTAGGAAAAATGGAAGATGCACAATGTGAAAAGGATCTGCTGGATTTCTGGACTCTTGGGTAGCGTACACACCTTGTGAATAAATGGACTTGGTTTACCGGCCCAATACCATAGTACTAGGCCCAACAAGATGTCAAGGTTGGATAGAGAAACAGGTACAGGGCAAGCAAACTCAAAAATGAAATTCCACTCGTACTAACAAAGATCGTCTAAATTTAAAAGAGCTAAATTGAAGTAGGCAGTCCATCATTGGATGGAGAAAAAGGATTAACCAATTTAACGTAAGAGTGTAAGACGCTCTTTCATGGAACGTCAAATACTAACATGTTATCAGATTTCAGAACCAAAGGTGTCTTTCGGGGGAAAAAAGGGGAATTCGGAATCAAAGGTAACATAGTTAAATACAAGAGGGGACTACCCTGTAGTTAAGTTAACCCTCGCAGAAAGGGGAAAAAAACAGCACTAGCAGCTAGTATCAGCCGTATTACCAGTGAGGATATACAGAGGCAGCTTGAAAAAAGCATAGGCATCTGAAGTTCTTTCCGGCGCGAACGATGATAATGATGGGCTGATGGCTTGGAATTACAATGCTCCGCATCCACAAAGTGATCGAGTCTAACAAAAGCACGCATGCTGTATATAGCCGTCGGCAGAAAGCAAGCTATACACGCATAGATTGTGTGAGATCGACGACCTGCAGAAACGCGACGAAATCCAGCTGACAATTACCGACATGGATACACTACTTGTGGCCGAAGCAGACGGTTAATTGTGAGGCTGCAGGAAGACGGGTGCATGCATGGACAGCGTGTGTGCATCGTCCACAAGATGAAAAGACTGAAGAAGTGGTCGAAGGAGATGGTGAGATTGTAGCACGAAAAGGAGCGTGTTCCCCGGCGCGGCACATACGTCGTGCGAGACAGATCCATCCCCCGTTCCAATCCAATTGGCCCACCCCTGTATACATCTCCTCGCCGCGGCCTCTCCGACGAGGGCGACGTCTTATCTCGATCGGTACATGCACCAAGCTAGCTTGCCAAGACTTCGTGCAATTGTGCATCGATTTTTAGGGTTTGGGTCAAGACGTTCGTGTTTGTGGAGATTATGGATACCCTATATCTACATGACAGTTATAATTTAGTCGGATATATGGTACCAAATATAAATAGAATATCTCTATGAGGACTTGGTAGAATATCTCTATGAGGACTTGGGTTAGATTCTAAACTTGTATGTCAAGGAAATATCCGGGATCTTAGTCGGTTACGATTGTATTTTATCTATAATCCCATATTCCGTTAGGATATGGACTGTACTTTGTAAAGCGGATTCCTTCCCCTATATAAGGAGGGTCCGTGTGCCTCTCGGGGCACGATTCTTTTTTCCAGTTTATACAATCAATAACACACTCGGCGGAATAATCCCCGGACAGGAGTAGGGTATTACTTCTTGAATAAGAAGGCCTGAACCTGTATAAAATTCTTCGTCTCCAAACCCATCCGCTTTCCTAACTTGATAGCCACCCCCTTTTACTATTGCTGAAATCTTGTTTCGACAGTGTTAGAGATCGATGGTTGCATATGCGTGCGTTTGCGGAGCAATATGTCAAGAATGCGCGTAAGCCCTCGGACGGAGATCAAGGCACATCAAAGAAGAAAGATGATGAAGACGATGCCCCGACTGGTTTTCAAGATCATCGCAAAGAACTCAATCACATCTTCAGCGGACCCCTGGCTTATGAATCTAAGAGAAAGCAGAAGTGTCACGCCCCGAATTAGTCCCGACCGGAACTAACCCGTGACGCTCCAAATTAACCTGTTAATCGATACCAGTCCCAGGAAACAGTGCTGGTATCACAGGGAGACAGAATATCACAGCAACAGAAGTCTCTTCATTATAGAGTAGAAGTACAGTCATGTTGGGCTGCGGACAGATCCCGAGCTCACAACTGCATTACAAAAGGAAAGCGGAAGCCAGGACTTGGACCAAACAATCACAGGCGCGACTTGGGAACTAGGCTGAAACCCTAAAACTCATCGTAGCCGGCTTGCTCCTGGAAGAACTCCTTATCAGCAGGATCCGCTTCATCTTCTTCAGCAACTGGGGGGGGGGGGAAATATTTATATAGAGCAAGGGTGAGTACGGGAGTACTCAGCAAGCCAGGGGAAATAAGTGTTTAATGCAGGCTTCAAGGAAAGGCTGTTGTTTTTTTTTTTTGCAATTGATTTTATTTGGAACTCTTTTCTAAAAGCAACTAAGTGAGTGCTTCTCAAACGACACGGATGAGACAGTGCGTCTCGTCCGGTCGGAGTATGTGCAATGTGTCAGTCTTTAGATCTTGAAACAAGGTTGGCACCCGGCCAAAAGCTTTTTGAACGGCCACCCGGGCCAACTCTTTTCAAACGGCCACCCGGGCCAACAACTTTTAAACTGCCACCCGGGCCTAGCTGATCCCATCAGCTGTAGGTTTTCCAAACATCGAACCCAGTTTCACAACAGCAATTTCACAAGCAGTAGTCAAACAAAACTACGCTAGGAATCACCTCACATCCGCCCATGACCGTGGGCACGGCTGTTCGAACAGTTTAATGACCTCTGCAGAGGGGGTACATTTTACCCACACGACATTACTAACCCGGGTCACCCAGCCCGTGGGGATCAGCCACGTCGGGAGACCTCCAAGCTTTCATGACAAGGCATTTCGAAAGCCGATGCAGGTTTACCATATGCCGACGAGAGGGGTCCCAGACCAACAACAGGTTAGGTCCCAGACCATACTGTGCCAGGAAGCCCAGGGGTCCTCCCCGACACCACCCCGGCGAATCCACATGTCTCTCGGCATCAAGGCTCCCCTGATAAGCTAGTTACTCAGCCAGGGGTGTTCCATTCCACCCATGTGGTCGTACTTGTCTTATGTTTGGATGAAATTCCAAGGAATCGGTCCTTAAGTGCGAGAGCGGGAAACCGTACACCCGGTACGTTCCCCGGTCCGCGGTTTTGGAAATTCATTTAGTTCGCAAGCACCGACCCAAGTGTCGGGTTTTCCGAGTCTTTTGTAAAACTCCAGTTTTACCCAAGTTGTTACTCAGATTTTAAGTTTGAAGGCGACCGTCGATACTCGCACAGAGTGCACGAGTATCAAGGCGCAACTGGGTGGTTACAAGGGGACATGGCATAGCAATTAACAATGGAAGGATCAAATGTGACAATTTAGGTAAGTCCGCCAATCTGCTTCGCAGACGGGACAACAGATTAAGTGTGATCCTATCAATGCATAATATTTTGCAAGCAACATACTTAAATTTCAAATATAGGCTCAAGATGTTCAAAGGTGGCTTGCCTTGCTCGAGATCTGGAGCTTGATCCTCGAAATCCTCGCACTGCGGGTCTTCGGGCTCCGAAACTACATGCGAAACGGGGCAACTCAACAAACAGCGAAAATAAAGCCCTATTAATGACCTCTAAGCGTGCCACTAGATAGATCTCGAGATTTGATGAATTTTGGAATTTGAACGGAATCAAACGGAGTTACGGTTGGGAAGATATTGAATTTCTAAGATTATTGGATTTTGGTCTAAAGGAAAAAGGATTAAATTAAATCCTTTTTTTTTGGAAAAAGAAAAAGAAAGAAGGGAGGGAGGGAATATAGACTTTTCTCGGGCGGCTAGGGCGCGGCCCAAAAGATTTGGGGCGGCTCGGCCGAGCTTAACAGGCCGGCCGGCCCAAGACGGCCCAAGCGCGCGCGCGCGTGGGGGGGGGGGAGAGGAGAGAGAGACCGGTGGACCGGGCTCACCACGCGCGGTCCCGGGTGGGACCCGCTTGTTAGCGGCTCGGCTCACCGTGCGGAGGGAGCACGCGGCGCACGCGCGCGGGCGGGGAGGAACGCGGTGTACGCGCGCGGTTTGCGGTGGACGCGGATGCGACGGGCCCACGCGCAGCCTCACGGCTCGCGGTGGAACGCGCGCACGGGGAGGGACCGACCGGGGTCGGCTCGACCCGGTCTAGGCTGAGCTGGCGCCGACGTGGCGCCTACGTGGCTGCCACGCAGGCCGGCGGAAGGTAGACGACGACCCGGCCACGAATGGACGGCGGGCGGCGGCGGCGAGCGGCGGAGCGAACCACGGTGATACGGGCAAAAGCGAGCACACCGGGCGGTTGTTCGCGACAGGGGGAGGCGAGCCAACGGCTCGGATTCGCCGGAGGTTGCTCGACGGC